TTCCTTTCTTGGGAATATATATCTGTAGCAATCTCCTTAGAAAAGAGCTGAAGAAGACTCATGAAGAAATTTTACAGATAGTGCTTCAGCAGCTTTGTTGGTAGAAGAATGCAAGCTAGTGAACCCTGCACTTCATCTTCTTAACACACACCAAAAAAGTGATACTATATACAGGAAGAGCCCATATGAAGATGTAATCTTTATTCTGTTCTCTGCCTTCCAGATCCATCAAAGAATAACTCGAGTATCTCTGATTTTAACCTTACTGAGCTGTAAAATGATTCCAGCCCCAGGAGTTAGCGTACAGGTTCTCAGTAGACATATTCGACTTTGTCTATTTGATGGCAATCGGGTAAGTTGCTTGACTATCAAAAAACAGTCTTGATCCTGTGTAATGCTTTAGGATCTTGGAGGAGTCCCTTAGAAACTGTAGTCTCAATAAAAATGAGAGAGTCCTAAGTTCCTTGACTGCTTTTCAAAGTAGTATGAATGTGCTGATAACCCCATCTAGTCAGTAAGGCTGCAGTGTTTTTCAGCTGATTCCTTGCAGCATAATAATTTAAACTTTATTTTTCTCTGAGTGTTCAAATCTTGTTCATAACAATATAAAATCCAGACAGCTTTTTTTTAGAATACAATCATTATGGTTGGAAAAGATTTTCAGGATCATCAAGTGCATCCGTAAAATTTTTGAAAATGTTTGGCATGTAGTAAAGAAGATACCAATAAAAATTAATGATTTTTGTGTAAACCACTGCATATATACTGCAGTAGATGTAATTTTAGGGAAAAAATAATTTCTTTGAATTCAGATAAATAAAGATATCAGCAATATATCAAAACTGCAAATTTTAAGGTTTGCTGAAGCTCATAGCCTAGTGGAGGCTGCCACAGCTCCATGCTCTCCTGCTCGCCGAAGAGCAAGGCTCAGCGTATTATGTACAACAGACACACATAAAAACTCTTGTATACACATATATGTATACACAGATCCTCACAGGACCCTCAGCTCATACACAGAGTCTGTATTACTGGATTTTGTGAAGCAGGAATCCTTGGAAAAATCTCTGCTGGTGATTCTGTGCTTGGCTGCAGAGGTTACTTTCTCTGTAGACCTTTAAACTGAAACCAGCTGATGAAGAGCAAGTGTAACTTTATCTTTGCTGCATGCAGATGTTTGGATTAATCTTGGTTGATACTGCATTTTCTCAAAGCTACAGAGTTTTCTAGGAAAACTTATTTTAACATTCTTCCCTGCTGTCATGTTTTAGGTGCTCAGTAACATTCATACAGTGAGAGCTACGTGGCTACCTAAAAATCCCCATACATGGACCTTTTCTCCAAAGGTAGGTATCTAGCTCAGGAAATTACATAGTAACTGTCTATTTGCAGTTTCTGTTTTATTTATTTTATAGTCATATATGCATTAGTTGTCATATTCTTGCTGAAATAAAATGTATTGCAAGGAATTCTCAGTTGGGCAATACTGTACCTGAGCACTTGGCTCTCAATAACTAAATGTCTTAGGAGGGATATGATTTTTAGCTTCTGAGTAATTGTGAAGAGCAGATGCAAATCTCAGTGAGTGGTGATATTTGCCTGCTCCTAAAACAGAATATATCTTGGCTTGATTAAAGTTAACAGTCATTTCTCCATTAATCAAGGAATTCTGAGGGAAGAGACCGTTGACAAATCTACAACTGAGTACTTGTAGATCTCAAGCCTATTGGTCAAGGAACTAAGCAATGTTTGGTTTGGTTTGTGGTTGTTCGTTTTTGGGTTTTTGTTTGTTTGTTTGTTTGTTTGTTTGTGGGTTTGGAGGTGCTTTATTTTCCCTGTAACCAAAATGAACACCTAGAAAAGACTTGCAGAAGTATGTGAATACAGACCAACTGAAATAACACCGTTAGGATAACTGAAGTGTTCTTGCCTATAGCTGTGACACCTTGGATGGGTGGTTGAACTTTAAAAAAAAAAAAATGGAGAAAAGGAGTAGGCAGAAGGAAAAGCAGCAGAGGGGCTTGGTGATCCAGCAGATGGCTGGAGGTGATCGTGGAGAAGGGAAGAGACTGGCAACTTCATGTGGGCTTTTGCTTTGATCTCATAAATAAAGCATGTGCTCTGTCCTGCAGCTTAGGCATTGATAGGTCACAGTCACCCTTACGTTAGTTTTTTACCCCCAGTAGTGGCTGCTTTTTTTGGAGGGAATTAAATGCCTTTTGAAATCTAAAATTCTTTGATAGCTTGTCCCCCCCCCCCCAAAAAAAAAAAAAGTACCTTGTTACCTTGTTAGTCCAGCTTTGCTGCTTGCAAGATAAAGAATAAGGGGAACAAGGAGTTCAACTGAAATTGGTTCTATGCTCATCACTCTCATATATATCATGGAAGCAGGTTTAAGATCTTATGTGTAAGTATGATGTCTTCAGTGACCTTTAAAAATCAGGTTTTTTTAAATATATACATTCACTTTTTTTTTTTCTCTCTCTCTCTCTCTGTTGTATTAGGTAACAGGCATTTTACCCAGTTTGCTGGATGGTGACTGTTTTGTCAGGTCCAATTCTTCATCTTCAGATATTGGAATATTGTTTGAACTTGGCATCACTTATATTCGCAACGTAGGTGTTTAAAGCTGCAGAATAAATCAATGCAAGTACATGTTTATAAAGTGAATCTGCTGTCCTAAATTCTACCTAAAACTGCATGTCTCTACACTGAACTGTGCGATGCAAATGAAGAGGTAACTGAAATCTCTAGCTCACTGCAAGATTGTCTTTGTTTTGTTTTCTTTGGAAAGAGAGATGTTAGTTTCTGATGAGTTTAAGCTCTTGGCAATGTCTGCCCCATTGCAGACAGGATCTGCCTGCCTGCTTGGATCCAACCACTACTCTGCTCTTGTCTGCTTGCTATCTTGGGCGTGCAGGAAGGAGCTGGGATTGCTGTGGGATCATTCATAAGCTTTGGGGAAATGGAAGGAAAGGGGAACATGCAAGCCATGGAGCAAGGGTGCACGATGTGGAGTAGAGACAGGCTGTGACAGTGTGGGAGGGATGCAGGACTGCTGCAGAGGGGGAGAAGTCGATGCAAATCTATAGGAAGCAGGGCTTGAGTCCTGCCAATGACCAGCATATCAGTGCTTGATGGTTCACAGAGATCTAAAGGGGCATAATTGCCCTCCTCTGCTGATCTGAGTAGTCAAGATTATATAAAATTGTCACCTCTGTTTACAGAATGAGGGCAACTGAGGGCTGGAAGGTGCACACATTCCTAGCTGTTAGTGCTTCTAGGTCTTGGTCTTTCTGCTTAGTCCATCAGGTTGCCCTAAAAAGAAATGAAGGATCTTTATCCCACTTTCTAGGGATTGAAAGGTGAAGTGTTAACTCTTAGGGCCATGCAGCAGACCAGTTACAGAGGCTGGAAAGGGAGTTGATTGTCTGTACCAGCCCTTCCATCTCCCAGACGTTGTGCCTCTGCACAGGGTCACTGGCTAATTCGTTTGTTTGTTTGCTTTTTCCATCATTCTCTTCTTTCTTTAGAACATCATTGCAGGTTTTGGAATTTTCACCTTTACATTCATGGATTTCTTTATTTTCAGGAGATTGATATATGAGGATTATTTTTAGTGTGTAATTCCTATCTTTATAAATCCTGGTCTCTTAAATATGTTTATTAGTGATCAGCTTCAGCATAACTGTTTGCTGTTTGGTATAGCATTTTCAAGAGCCTGCAAAGGTGACATTGTCAGGGTTTGCTTACCTTAAATCTTGGGCCCTTACCATTTTAAGGGAAGTTCTTTATGGGATATTCCAAATAGTTACTTGTGGTTCAGTTACTCATTCCACTTGAGCTGCTTCAGTTAGCTGCTTTTTTATTGTCTAGTCAACAGGTGAAAGAGGAGAGCTAAGCTGTGGCTGGGTATTCCTGAAGCTTTTTACTTCCGATGGAGTACCTATTCCTTCCAAGTAAGTTTCTGATCATCCCCTCCCACTCCTCCTCACCCCACCCCTATATATTGTTTTCCTGCATTTTTTTTAATATAAATACCTGTTAAGCTAAGAATAAAGTTCCTATTTCTATTCTTGCCCATTTTTATAGGCAGGGATAGTAATCCAGTCTAATATGCAGGTTTTACTGAATCTCCTAGTGAGACTGCTGGTTCTGATTCAGCACACTGTATGTTCAAACAAACTAAATCCGTGTGGGAAAAGTGCCCCGCGGAATGAACATTCAGGTCTGAAATGCTGCAAGCTATTAATTGTTTAAAAATAGTCCTCATTAGAATTTTAAAACTCTGGAAACCTCTGAGGAGGGAGTTCTTGAAGAACTTGGGTTTATATACAATTAAAACATTAAGTAACTGTTTCTAAATCTCTTCTTTTACCCAAGTGTGATATATGTGATATTAATATTAAAATTATTCCTCTCTCCAAGATGAGGAAATTAATATTAAAATTACTTCACACTTCCAAACCGAGATTGGCCAGCTTTCCCACCTTGGAAAATACGTTTCAGTGACCCTCCTTAAGCACACAGTAACCATTAGCTCCTGGGATTTAAAACAGATAAAAAGGTTGTACTTGTAACATTAGCATCTCTTGTCCACCTGCTCTTCCAGAATGCTTTGAATATAAAGATATCTTCAGATTTATCATTTTAATTTATGGTTACTTAGTAATTTAGCTTAGTCAGTTCATACAAAATATTAACAATAGCCGCACGCACCTTGTCTGTTTGCTTTATTTGAGATGGCAAGTTGATTTCTCCCTGATTTTCTCCCATGAATGTTTTAGCTGAACGATGCTGCTCTTCTTTTGCAGGACATACGAGCTGCTGCTGAATGGTGGAACTCCTTATGAGAGAGGTGTGGAGGTTGACCCGTCGATATCCAGAAGAGGTGTGGTTTATCCTAAACGTTGCATAAATGAAGTGGTGCAGCAAATGTTTTACCTGTTTTACAGCATGCAGTTCTCAGCCGGGGCTCTCGTCAGCAGGTGTTTACTGCAGCCTGGTTTTGATATAACAAAATATTGCTGCTTTGTCAGTTTGCCTAGGGGTTAACTGGTTGTTGGGGCTGGTGCGTGTCAGAACTGCCTATCAGTGCCAATATTTCTGTAATTTCCAGTGTTTGTAAGCTGAGGATTACTTCTGATACATGTGTTCAGTTCGTTTTAATGATATTTAACAAGTCTTGGCCATTGCATGTGGAAGAGCTTGCCTAAATAGGTGATGACTGCAGCACAGAGTGTGAAAAAGCAAACAGGAGGAGACTCCTTAGCTCTGCATTGCTGCTCGAGCCCCATGCCGTACCCGAGGGATGAGTGTGTTCCACGTGTGCGTGACAATCCTACGGAGCACAGTTCTTCTATGTTGTGCTGAACAAAACTTTGCTGAGGGTTCGTTCAGGTGATAGACCACTGTATGGCTGCACAGGAGGTGCCGTGGCTTTTCTCTGGCAGCTCTAACAACATCCATTTGCCAGTGACACAGATAAAGATGCCCAGCTCTACTTTAATCGATGCAGATTATAATGAATACATTCCTTCTAGTGAGAAATAATAGTTTATGTTAGATCAAATGTTGATATAACTCAAACAAACAAACAGGAAAGTTTTCAGGCGCTTCATTCCTCTTTCAGGTCTTTAGCCCATCCTTAAATATAGTTTGAACAAAACTTTTCCTACCAAATTGAAGTGTCTGTTTGTGTTACATACTTCTTAATATTCTTTCAAAAGGACTGATTTAGTGCTTTGCTGTTTATTTCTCAAGCAAGTGGTAGTGCTTTTCATCAAATTCTGACATTCAGAAAGCAGCCTGCCCTTCTTGTGAAGCTGAGGTCATTAAGCGTGGAGACAAAAGATATGTTGAAGTAAGTATTCCTTTATCCTGCAACAAAATGGAAAAGGGTGTCAGATGGTTTCAAATGCTTCCAGAGATCCCTGGAGCACTGTCTATAGATGAGACTGAGCACCTTCACATTGTGCTCAAACACTGTTTGAGGCTCAGAGCTCTTGTTGAGAAAAGTGAAGGAGAAAGCTTTATAGAAAAGGGGAAGGGAAGGGAGAAAAGATGGAAAACT